AATTAAAGCCCAACGTACAGATGATCTTTCATCACATACGGAGATTTAACGAAAAAGAATAATAAAATACATAAGCGGGGACAAGGCAAAAGTAAAGGACATAGGATTACTCGATACTGATAATCTTATGAATCGATATCTGATGAAGATAGCACACATACCCTACATTACCACTTTCTGGCAAGAGACACGGTATAAGATAAATACTTTTCTAGTAAGAATTCATTTTATTTTCAAAAACTAATTTTCCTTATATTTAACAGATAATGATCGCTCTCCAATGGAAAGTCAAAATATTACTAATCGTAAGTATTTTTAAAACTTGAACCTTTATGTAAAATATTATTATTACATTATTAATCAGATCAATATACTGAAGAAAATACGGCTTAGCAATTTATATATTTAAATACTGCTACCGGCTTTAAAGTGGAATAAATTAATATAGAATTTATTTATTAACACTATTATTTAGATTAATTTATTAATACTATTATTTTAATTAATACTATTATTTATTATTGAAAAAATCAATATTGTTTTTAAATATTAATTTTTTAAATGTATATTATAATTGTTATCTCAAACAAAATATTTAAATATAAATATATTTAGATAACAATTATATATACATTTAAAAAATTAATATTTAAAACAATATTGATTTTTTCAATAATAAAATAGTATATTAAATAATAGTATTAATATAAATTAATCTAAATAATAGTGTTAATAAATAAATTCTATATTAATTTATTCCACTTTATATTTATATTTAAATATTTTGGTTTTAGATAACAATTATAATATACATTTAAAAAATTAATATTTAAAACAATATTGATTTTTTCAATAATAAATAATAGTATTACTTAAATAATATAATAGTATTAATATAAATTAATCTAAATAATAATGTTAATAAATAAATTCTATATTAATTTATTCCACTTTAAAGCCGGTAGCACATGGGTACATTCAATGCGGAGCGGAAAAGTCGTCAACATATACATATATTCCTATGGTAGATAAGCTACGACAGGCCCAGCGTAGTCCGCTGTAGCATACTATCATAGGAATACATATGTTGAAATTTTTCTGCTCTGCATTGAATTCACCAACGTATTATCGGCCTTAATATAATAAGTTTGTTGTTATACAACAATTCTGTTAAATAAGCATTATTAATTAAATTGATAATATTTTCTTGTTATTTTAAGATAACTTCAAGCGAACTACAGATAGCGTTCACGTAAATGCTGGTAAATAATTATTTTTATTCTTTATATGTTTTGTATTTTTTAAATATTCCTTTTTGTATAATATTTTAATATCCAATATAACTTAACTTTCAGAATTTTCAGAATTCAGAAAACAACTTCTTAAAGAAGTTCATCTGATTAATCTTAAATTAAATGATCTTATGGATAACGTGAATATACTTGTAAAAAAAGCCCAATATGCTGATGAGCCAGAACTAAATGATGACACTAATACGGCTGTTATGACTTTAATACAATCGTTTCCAGTCGTTACAGAGCAGGAATTAATGTCGATGGAAGAATGGCTATCGAGTTCAGCTGATAACATACATGCACTGGTGTGTACTTAATTATATTATTATATATTATTTAGATTATATTTTACATGATGAAAATTATTTTCTAATAAAGAACTTTTTTATTTTGTGAATTTTATATTTTAGAGTCATTAACTGCGTTTAATTGGAGGCACAGATCTTCCCCATGTAATCAAAGCCATTATGTCGAGAGCAATTTCAAATGAAGTTGGAATGCTATATTCCTGGGAGGGAGCTCGGCAAAAAAAGCTTTTAAATCGCTAAAGTTCGTCCAAGTGATCATTGGTAAAATATATTATTTTATATACTCTACATCAAAACCATTTTAAGCATATACATATACGCTTGAATCAAGCTTCATCGTAACATAACTGTGTTGCGTAATCAAATAATATTTAAATAGAAAAATTTGAATTTGAATTTAATTTTGTTACATTACTTTGTCGCTTTCATTTTTTTATTCACAATTTTTTATTTAATATCTGTAATATATATGTATTATATGATGATGTTACGCATTAAAGTTCGCAGATCTGTTCACACCGGTTATGTTGCACAGTTACGTTATGTAATGCTCATATGCGTGCGTAACTTTTATATTTACTAAATGATTTTAGGTGTTGTTCGACTGAACTCCAAGACAAAATCTGCAACAGAATCGGATATCATAGAAGTAATAAAAAATTGGCTAGTTAGAAGTAAAGAACGCAGTAACAAGTTTCAATCAAAAAGAAAACGGAAAACACTGTGTGTCAAACAGATTCCGTTTGTGAAACAGGCTCTGCTTGTGAAACAGCTCCGCTTGTGAAACAGGCTCCGTTTGTGAAACAGGCTCCGTTTCTGAGAAAGACCTTATTCAAGATTAAGATAATTATATGTATAACTTGCCGATATATATATATAATTATTTGTTTTACATTTATTACAAATTAAAAGTAAAATTTTAAGGTTTTAAATACTATTAATTTGATTGTTCTGCTACTATATATATTATTTGCATTTATCATTTTTGTTTTTTTTTTATTAGTGCACATTTATCAAAATTGCTTTTTTGTTTTATTTTAAATTGAGTTCTTTTTATTTTAAAACTTCAAAACACAACAACGGTTGAAACAACGGTTTTTAATTGTATAGAATATATTATATATGTATGTATTAGAAATAACTTCATTGGATATCTGTACTATACATACATAATATGACATTTAAAATGTTTTTCGAAAATTATAATAAAAAATAAATGCTAAAAAATTATATTGATATACAAAAATATATGTATACAGTGAATATGTTTATTACATCCACTGTTTATATGTACATACATTTTCGTATATCCATATAATTTCTTTAGCATTTATTTTTATGATATTCGAAAAACATTTTGTACGTCATATTATGTATATAGTACACGGATATCCAATGTCGAATAAAATTAGCTGGAATCTTGAATAATATATATATATATATATATATATATATATATATATCAGAAAGAAATATTTTTATTGGCTCTCAATATTAAAAATATAAATATGATGTTTTTTTTTTTTTAAATCGGCCAACAGAGCCAAAGCACGAAAAATTAATTATTCGAAACTGTATCTCTTGGTTTGAAAAAACATATTTATATTCTTAATATTGAGAGCCGATAAAAATATTTCTTTCTGATTTTATTCACGCCTTGGCCTAATCACGGCGTTATTTACTAACATCTACTAAAAGGCAAATGAAAAATATAGGATCGAAAGGGTCTGGATAGCTTAGTTGGTAAGAGCAGTCGCCCGGAAAGTGAAAGACGCGGGTTCGATTCCCGCTTCAGCGACTTTTCGGACCTATATTTTTCGCGCCTATTTCTCCATATGTAAGTTTCGAGATTAATTTATATATGGAACTTAGTGATCTCAAACCAAAAGATACAGTTCCGAATAATTAATTTTTCGTGCTTTGGCTCTGTTGACCGATTAAAAAAAACATTATATATATATATATATATATATATATATATATGTATATATATATGTTATATATGTTATATATATATATATATTATATATATATTAAAAAACATTATATCGAAAAATGTATTGTAGAAGGAAGTTTAAACCGAAAAATGTATTGTAGCTCTCGGAGACTTTTTTGCAGATCGTTAAAATTTTGAAATTTTTAATACATTTTTCGTTTTTATTCTCCCAATTTTAGAAGGATACAACTTGGAAGGAAAATATTTTTGGATCCATGTTTATATAAAATGTTTTTTATTTTTACCTCTAAAGTATGCTCTTAAAATCTGTGACATAGTTTAGAAAATGTACTTTTTCAGATTTTCTTTCAGAAATCTTGTACTTTTTCATACATGTATTTTATCATGTTCAAGAGCGGCCGATACATTCGCGAATTATGTAAATTTTTTAAGATTATCATTATAAATATTCGGTGCGGCGAACGGTCGTTTGTTGTTCTTTGCGCTGTATTTTTGTCCTCGTCAACTTTGTTGTTGTGTCAAAGTTATAAGTTAATAGCTAATAGAGCTAAGTGCTTATTGTTTCGTAAATATTCTAAATAAAAATTTGACAACTCGAAAATAATCAGGTAGACCGGCGTAAACATAACGCGCGCGAAGGCAGGACAACGACTTCCCTTTTTTCTGGTCTTTCGATTAGCTGTTCGTGCGTGTTTTTCCCGGGGCAAAACATCGAGACAAGACGTCGTGCGCGTGCGCGGCAAAAATAAAGAATCCTTTAAATAAAAAGCCAGAGTATCCACTAACTGCGCAAAACGTTTGCGAACGTTTGTAAACGTTACGAGCGCTTGTAAAACTAATAATAATATTATAATAATATAATAATAATGTAGTATCGGGACTCCTCTATAACGCGTAAGTGGGTGATGCGGAGAAGGTTGGGCAGAGGGCCTAGGTAGCTTAATGGTTAGAGCAGTCGCCCGGAAAGCGGAAGGTTCCGGGTTCGAGTCCCGGTCTAGTCACCCAAAGGCCCGATTCTTTTTCGCGGATCCTACTATAATATATATAATAAAAATATATAATTTTGTAAGCGTTTGTGACGTTCACAAACATTTGCAAACATCTTGCGCGGTTGATAGATACCCGGCTTAAGGCCCCGAAGCGTCCACGCCAGATTTCTTGTTTTTCACCAAAACATGCACAAATCGTTTTCGGACAATTAACCGTGCTTTTTTTGTCGCTCGCAGAACGCAGACTTACACGCCGATCGCCTTTCGCGATTATTTCGGAGTCGCTCGTTTCGTAATCACTAAATCAGATTATTTACGTTTTTGTTACGTTTTTTCTTGTATTGGTAGATTAGAATAAGTTCATTGTTTGTTTTACAAAGTCAACCGCTTTTTTACACTTGCATCCCTTCACTTTTTCCACGCCTATTTTTTTTTATTTTCCGGAAACAAAAATCCTTAAAATTTTTTAAATGTTTTTGGGATGAAAATGAGAATAGAAATTTTCACATCGTTTACTTTTTCACGAACCTTTTTTTTGTAAAATTTTCTATATACAATACTTACAACATTTCTGGATGTACCGAAAAAATATCCTGGATATAATGATAATGATGATTCAGAACTGCCTTCATATGCAAGAATTGCTAATTGATATATTTCTCTTTCTGCACATTCTCCAAGTCCTCGTACGTGTATCCAGTAATAACCCAAAGTTTGATTTGCACTTAAAATAAAATCAACACGTTTACCTACGCAATAAGAATAATAAATATATTTGTGTACGTAGTAAAAAAAGCAATACGCATGCACACATTCACACACCCGCGGCACATACGCGTGCACGCGCACATATGTATATAGGATGTCCATAAAATATATGCCCATTCGCTATATTTCGCAGTTACATGTATTTCGTGGTTTTTTAATAATTTTGAGCCGTTTCGAAAATATAGGGATGGGGATTTTATGGATACCTTATATTACATATATTGTATACATACAGGGTCTCAAAATTAGATTGACAAACTTCAAGTGGTTATAAAGGAAATGAAAACAAGCTAATTTTGTCAATAAACATTTTTGTAAATGTGTCATTTTGGTAGTAAAGTGATTTTTGAAATGAAGTGTAATAGATCTAATAAGTCTTTGTACATTAAAAATTCTTACAAAGAATAATTTATTTTTTAATTATAAGTAATAAACATTTGTTTTAATAATTATTTGTGGTAATTGTGCATCTTAAAGGAGCTACCTCCGATTATCTTGACCTTGACATATGTTGTCAAGGTCATGACCCTGAGTACCCTCCAAAAGGTTTTAATCTGCGTTTGTAATTAATTACAAAATGATTAACAACTAGCGTTTCGGACCGCGCTTTGTGTGGTCCTCAAAGCCTTTTTAATCAAACCGCGGAAAGCGTGGTCCTCATATAGTAGCCTATATAAAACTTGGCCGATTTTCAGCTGACTCCGCCTAGCAACTCCCCTTGTCGCGCATCGTCTACAACCCGCTGGCGCCTCAGGAGCGTGTGATTTGAGAATATACGTGAAATAACTTTTTTTAATCTTTTATTGCTTTTCTCCACTCTTTTCTCCTTATTTCTTTTTCTTCTCTCTCTTCTTCTTCCTTTCCCCTCCTCTTCTCTCAATTTTCTTACCACTCTCTCCTCTACTCCTCCTAATAGCTTCATAAAATATCCTCTCCACTCTTCCATCTCAATCTCCTCATTTATTCCCTTCTTTTTCCTCCTTTTCTTGTTCACTATTTCCCACACCTCTTTTTCTCTTTTTACTTCCGCCGCTTTTTTCTACCTCTCATTCTCCTCTCTTTTCTTTCTCTCACATAGCTTCTTATATTCTCCTCTTCTTCTTCTGTACTCCTCTCCTTCTCCCCCTTCTCTTCTCTACCTCCTCAGCTCCCCCTTTATCTCCCTTTTTTCTTCTCTACATTCTTCATCCCACCATCCTCTCTTCTCCGCCTTTCCTTCTTTCACTTCTTTCTCCGTTCAACAATTCTGAGATTGTGCTCTATTGCGAACTGAACGCTGTCGTTCTTTAAGTCGCCTTATTTGTTGTGGAACTGTTTCTCGTGTTCTTTTATCTACAACTTGTAACCGTTGTTCATCGAGACATTTTATTTGTTTCTCTTGCGTTTCCTGATCTCTACTGATTGTTGTGCGAAAATTTTAATTAACTAAACACAAAGATCTCTGTAATGTCGTTTTTCGTTTTCTTTTTAAAATAGTTTCCATTTTCTGCTTCATCAAACGCAATTTTCTCTCTTCAATGCTCTCTCGAGCATACCTCAAAGATCTTGCTAAGCTTATTTGATTCACACAAGCATCATTTTCCTCTTTGTTCTCATTGAGTCTATTTAATTCTTTTTTCCTCGCATCTTGAGTTTTTCTAGATAATTTAGTTTTTACTTTTGGCATTTTAAGCCTAGTCAAAGGTTAATATTATATTAGATCAATTAATTAAATTTAATTTGATCTTAAATTAAAATCAAGTATTTTAATATTGTATCAATTTTAATTTATGATTTAAATAATTTATATTTTTAACATTAACAATTATATATCAATCTGTCTTTCAATATTATTTTTGTTAATTGTTTTTATTTAATAGATATTTATATTACGATGTCGTAATTCAGTTAAATATTATAGTAATGTAATCAATTATATAAATTTAAATAAATTAATTAAAAAACTTAAACCAATTATTTGATATGTAAACCCGTTATCAAAATA